AAGTTTGATTCCTCCAGAGACAGAAACAAGCCTTTCAGGTTCAAGATTGGCAGGCAAGAAGTCATTAAAGGATTTGAAGAAGGTGTTACACAGGTACAAAGAAATGATTCTGGCTCAATGTCAAGCCAGCGTGTGAGAACAGCCATGTCCAGTGCAATAGTGACAAGATCAAGTGGAAATCACAGTGTAGGATACATAGTGGTTTTCTGAAAGCGTGGTCCATTCAGGCACGGTATTTCATATAGTTCTCCCTGTCCATCCTGGGATGTCCCCTACTCGTGAGGCTTTCCATGTTAGGAAGAGGTGAAGTCCCCTCCCCAGGTGCCAGTGTGCCATGTAAGCCCTTTCCCATGGGCAGCTCCACAAACAGACAACAGCGGCCTCTAAAATGTTCCAGGTGGCAGCATTTTATGGAGTGGCCTCTATTCAGCCACTCCATAAAAGTCCAAGCTGCCGTTTTCGATGACATCCATGACCGAGCTACAGATTTTGACCATTACTGAATAGGGTACCAAACTGCACTGTTAAATTTTTATGATGCAGGCTCACAGCTACAAAACTTAACATTCACTGACCAGCCCTACACTGAGAAAAAAGAAATTGCCCTCCATTAATTACAGTTTGAGTGACAACACAGTAAAACCCTTAAAAGAGCCACACATTGCCAACTCTTGCTTTTTTGTCTGCAGTGTCATGAGGGCCCACTACATGAGGGCTGCTGAAGTGCAAGAGTGAATGAGATCAGGGTGCAAACTTCTCGTGACTCCTCGTTTCAGGGACCTAGAGCTCAGCGTAGGAGGAAACTGCTCAAATATTGTTGTAGGAACAACTGTGACAGGAACAACTTCGTATGCTTAAATACAGAGAAGGAAAGAATGCAAAATGAGAAACAATCCACTGAGGAATGATGCAACCGTGCTTTTCCAGAGAGGGATGGAAGACAAAATGGTTTCCGCCCTATGGAGAAAGCAATGCAAGCATTTCCTTCTCTCCAGCCAGAGAAGGAGCAGTCCGTTTGAGGAATCCTAGACTCTCTGAAAAATACCCACCTTCCTCTCAAGGATTTGAGTTGGAGTCTTTATTTTTGCAAGACGGCCTAAGAGGAGCTTAGGACCCCAGTGTGCTAGAAACCAGAAAACAGCGCAGATAAAAGCAGTGGCAACAAGTGTGGGTGAATCAGTTTATCCCTTCCTTGACTGCTCTCGCACCTTGACTCTTGTCCCTTAATTAATAAGAGGCCGAAAGCCATTCCAGTAATCAGCAAGGCAACACTCTGCCCTCCTGCTCCTCCTAGTACATCGCTGACTGAAGTCAAGCTTATGGCTGTCTCCTTCCACCTCAGGGTTTTGAGGAGTCTGGGGAGTGTGATTGATATGGGGCACCTGGAAAAAGGCAGTTCGCTGTGTTTAGCATGTAGTTTTTTCAAACCTTGGTTTAATGACTGTCAGATGTCAGCAGCATCTGCATTTCTCTGCCCAACTTCTGACAGTTCGAGGTTGCCTCATGCCTAAAACTCACACATGACTTACCAGCTGTCTGGCTTGCAGGGGCCCATCAGAGCAGCAGACAGCCTGCCCCACACCCCTGCAGGGACCAGGGGAGGTCATCTGCTCTTAGACCCTCAGCCCCATGCTATGAATACTCCTGGAATGTGGGAAAATTCATAGTCACATTTTTCTTCTACCTAAAGTGATCAAAGCTCTAGCTTTGGCATATTTTATAGGACCTGAAAAAAATTCAACAGGAGATACTCCATAATCCGTAGTCCAGTGATGTGCCCGATCTTGGGAGAGAGGCCTGAGTTAAAATCACTGCTTCAAATCAGGGGTTGTTTCTTGGTCCATGAATATTCAATCACCAGTGTGTGATGCATGAGTAGCAGTTTGAGGGTGCTTCACCCCAAAATACTGTGTTGGAAGAGCAGGGATTTGAATCTTCATACCTCAAATCTTAATGACCACCATTACCTCCAGAGCTAAGTTGGAGTGAGAGAAATCAGCATTTCTGTCCATCCCAGGGGCAAGGGCTCTTTGCTGGAATAAGCAGCACCTGAGGTGAGATGTCTGCCCTCAGACTTGGGCTGAGTCTAGGGAAATAAGTACCTCTTTTAAGTAGGATTGCATCAGTGTTTGCTTTGCACCTGCCCAGCAGCAGAAAGTTGGGTGCCTGCAGCATTAATGTCTGAGCAACAGTTTTGAAGTCATCCCTGGTGGTGGCTGAAGAAGGAAAAATGTTGCTGAATGCTTTTCAGAAGCGCATTTCGGCACTGATCTCTCGTGGATACAAAGCTCTGGTCCCATCTGTTACTGAGACCCTTTTCCTAACAGCCACTGATGGCATTACAGGTAGCCTGCACTCCGCAGAAGGAACTCGCACCTCCTACAGCTGGCTCCAGCATAGGCAGTATGGACGAAACTATGCATTAAAAGCCTCTGTATAACTCCCAGACCAGCTCTGGCAACTTAAATAACTGCCATGAGAAGCCAGAGGAGTCAGGAGACCTTCATCTGAGCTGTTTGTGGCAGCTTCAACTTGAAGCTGAAAGATGAATCTGATGGTCCCAACTCTCCTTGATGCTGTAAATCTGCCACGTAGTGATTTGTTCTTTGTTTTCCTTCTAATACTGTTTTTTTGTCTTCTCGTTTCCTTTCTCAAACATCGAAAACCCAGATGAGCTTAGGACAAAGAGCAAAGTTGACCTGCACACCTGAGATGGCCTATGGAGCCACAGGCCACCCTGGGGTCATCCCTCCCAATGCTACTCTCCTCTTTGACGTGGAGCTTCTCAGGTTAGAGTGAATCTTCTCGAGGGAGTTGGCGGGAGACATCTGTTAATAACCATCCGTACCTTCTCGCCTTGCCAGCAGCGGGAGAAATCTTCACTGGAATCCCAATCCTCCCTGCTCAAGCTGTCCTGATTAGTTTCGTATGCCTTTTTTAACTTTGTGGTGTCCGTATTTGCCTTTTATTAGAAGCTTTGCTTTGGGGAAAATGTCTACCGTTGTAACATTTTCAAGCTGTATATTTTATTTAATTTGCATGTAAGAAGACTTCACAGTGATGATTGAAATATATATAAATATAAATATATATATTCCTTATCGAAAAACCACTGCCTTACTGTACACTTAAACCAAGAAAAAAAACCACAAAAGGTGCTCAAAAAAAAAAAAATCTAATGTACGCCTTGTACATGAACGGGCATTAGCCAAACAGAGTTACCTGCGCTGCCACTTTTCTCAACTTGTATGTTCTGCTTGCTGCTGTTTTAAAAAAATACTGTCTCATTTAAGAATTAAAAGTATATATATAAAACAATAAAATCTTGGTACTTTACAGTTTCTGTTTCCTGTTCTTCTGCTTTCCTCTGGCCACTGGGATTCTTTTTGGTGTATAAGTTCTTCAAACAATCATCAACCCATTTTTTGTCCATTATTTCTCCTCTTCTATGAAATACACATAGTTTCATGCACTATAGATGGCACAGTGGAAAATCTCTGTGGGACCAGAGGTACCAGAAACATGCAAGTAAGGTCTGCTGAGACAGAGAGGTTTCCTGACTCTCCATCTCCCTTGCCCTGCTGGGAGCCCCTCGACTCTGGCCAAAATTTGTCTGCTGAAGAGATGGGAAGTGATGCTTCCCAAAGACATGCAGTGCTGGTCCAATTCTATGCATTTACAACAGTAAAACTAGTGTAAAAATTTTTACTGGAGCAAATACAGGCTAAAGGAGAGCAGAATTATGTGCATTCACCTTACAAAACGAATCTGAACCATGGGATGATGTGGCCACTGAACACACCGGGGTTTTTTTTTAGGCTGCATCTTCTGATGTTGTTTACATGGCCTGCAAACTTACTTTGTGTGCTGGGCTCCTGGCACTCGAGACTGAGCAATATTTATTTCATTTGATGGTTATATGAATTCACGAAATGCTGGTTCCTCCCCTAGAGACAGAAAGATGCATAGACTGTCATTTCCCTGGTTTTAGGAGCAGGACCTGATCAGTGAAGCTGCCTCTGTGCTGTTATTTTGCTTTGCCTCAATATGTTTTTTCACATTTTGGCTTGATTTTCCCCTTTGCTGTAGAGAAAAAGAGCATCATTGGGTCACAATGTTATTTTTAACTTAACTGTAAACTATTTGCATAGTCTTCAACTAATGCATTTTTTGATGGAATTATTTCAAACAGTTACACTGTTTTCTTGTGTGAGTCTGTGTAAGGAGAACACACCTAGCACTGGCAGATGGACTGCAAAGCCACGTAGGTATCTTCAGGTGATACCTCCTGGAGATGAGCAACTAAAGGAGCATGGAAAAGCAAGACTGGCCAGTGAGTACAGCTCACCCTCCTCTTTCTCTAGATGTTCATTCTACCCACAAAGCTGCATTTGGGTTTGTTAATTAATAAGCTCATAAACCCCATCTCTTAAAGACTGTTATTCATTGAGGGTTGGTGGAGTAAATTCTTTTCCTGCTCCCCACTCTGTAAAGAAACGAAAGGCCTTTCAAGACCCCTTTTTTGGTGGAAATCTAGGATCACTGCAGCAGCGAGGTTACACATCCATGTTTCACTAACAGTTCTTTTATTTAGGACAGGCTAATTTCCTGCTAATAAATAGGGAATTAGACCTGTCGGGGTTTGAGGCTCACTAGCTCTCCCAAATTCTTTTTAAAGGTCCTGAACTCCTTTGCCACTGCCGCAGCCTCTGTCACTGGTCTTGGTTTCAGCCCTGGGTTGCAGGTTGTGTTGCACCAGTTGCAGATGTGAGCTCCTACAGATGTCTTGCTTAAATGTAACCTAGCCCTGTTGTTTCAGGTCAATTCAGCATGTTGGTCTAAAGCTGCTCCTACTGATGGCCCAGTTTAAGTTAGCTGCTCATTACAAAAATGGGAAAAAAAGGTAAAGTATCTGGTTTGGGACCTCTCCTGAATGCCTCAAAAGTGAACAGCGGTGCAAAGGGTCAGCTCAGCAAACCTGGAATGGCTGCATGTTCCCTCCATCACCTCTTGGTCCCGTTGTTGGCAAGTATCTGCTGTGTCTAAAGCAATAGGTAGGACATCGCTCTGCCCTTCCACTTCTGCTAGGTTTCTCACCAGTGAAAAACGTGTTCCTGCTGGGCTTTAAGAGCTGATGACATTCAGTTTTATCGTCTCTATCTGCAGAGCTGCTGTGCACTTCTCTTTTGCCCTCGGCAGTACAACCCGGCCATTACCGAGTCTGTAAAATCCTTATTACAGCTGGTTGATGAAGCTCTCTCCCTCATCACCCTTTCTCTGCAGAGACCTTTGTTGGAAGCAGAGATTATTACATTTTTCATGCCAATTTCATTAAAAAAAAATCTGAAAGGAAAACTAATTGTGCTTTGTGATACTTAGGGAAATTAAGTCTTCAAGGAAATGTAATCTTCAGCTCTTTATTTGACTGCAAATGCGTTAATTTATTTAATTGTATCATCGATCAACACAGTACATATAATTATTACCACTATATAATGGATTGGAAAAAATTTACTGTCATTGCCTGTGTAATCAGATATGCTCTTGTTACTAATTTCTAAACAGCATCGATGGAAAAAAAAATGACCTTCCAGGCTTAATTTCATGCCCTACTTCCTGAAAAATTAAATGGGAAGTGAGCACACACAAAAACCTGCACAGATGCAGAGTACGAGGCTGGTAACATCTGCCTTATTTGCTGCCCCCTCTGCCATTCATATAACTGAACTCATTTCCCTGTCCTTTGATATTACATTTCAAACAAAATCTTGAGCAGACCTCATCAAAACAATCCTCTGGGCATTCGATTTCCATTCCCTCTGTCTTGCAGGTACAAATTATTATTTCATTTTACATGTGCAGGGACATTGAAAGCCCTGAACAGGCACTAGAAGAAAAAGTATGAAATGGAATATTTAATGAAAGGCAGCAGCTGAGCTCTCAGAGAAATCAAAAGCTGCTGATCTTGAGGATTCATTGAAGGAATTTTTATTAATCTTATTACCCTAAAGAATTGCTTTTTATATATGTTTTTCAAACAGCATCAAATCCTCATCAAAACAGACACTGTAGTGCAAGCACCGTGCTCTCCACTATTGACAGAAGAAACGCAGTATTTGCTTATGATTTTAAACAAGGCTGGCAGAATGTGGCACCATTATTAGCACTTTTCTATTTTATTTCCAGTATTTATTATTATTTATTAGAAGCATAAATCCAACATGGTAACAAGCACCTCCAGTTCCTGTTACAACCTTCTAAATGCCCAGCAACTGGCATATCAATGATCTGGATGAAGGGAACAAGTGCACCTTCAGTAAGTTTGCAGATGACAGCAAGTTGGGTGGGAGTGTTGATCTGTTCAAGAGCAGGAGGTCTCTGCAGAAGGATCTGGACAGGCTGGATCGATGGGCCGAGGTCAACTGTATGGGGTTTAATAAGGCCAAGTGCAGGGTCCTGCACTTGGGTCACAACAACCCCATGCAACGCTCCAGGCTTGGGGAGGAGTGGCTGGAGAGCTGCCCGGCGGAAAGGGACCTGGGGGTGCTGGTTGACAGCCGGCTGGACATGAGCCGGCAGTGTGCCCAGGTGGCCAAGAAGGCCAACAGCGTCCTGGCCTGTATCAGCAATAGTGTGGCCAGCAGCAGTAGGGAAGTGATCGTGCCCCTGTACTCGGCCCTGGTGAGGCCGCACCTTGAACCCTGTGTTCAGTGTTGGGCCCCTCCCTACAAGAAGGATGCTGAGGTGCTGGAGCACATCCACAGAAGGGCAACAAAACTAGTGAAGGGTCTAGAGAACAAGTCTTCTGAGGAGCAGCTGAGGGAACTGGGGTTGTTCAGTCTGGAGGAGGCTGAGGGGAGACCTTTTCACTCTCTACAACTACCTGAAAGAGGGTTCTAGTGAAGTGGGTGTTGGTCTCTTCACAGAATCATATAGGTTGGAAAAGACCTCTAAGATCAAGTCCAACCATCAACCCAACACCACCCAAGCCCCCTAAACCATGTCCTGAAGTGCCACATCTACACATTTTTTGAACACCTCCAGGGATGGTGACTCCACCACCTCCCTGGGCAGCCTGTTCCAATGCTCGACCAACAAGCAATAGGACAAGAGGCAACGGCCTCAAGCGATGCCGGTGGGGGGATATATTGGATATTAGAAAAAATTTCTTCACTGAAAGCATTATCAAGCATGGGAGCAGGCTGCCCAGGGAAGTGGTTGATTTCATTTTTTTAAACATTTTTAAGGCAAGCTGGTTTTTGCCTGAAAAACTTAGATTTGCATCAGTCTGATGGGCAAGACCTGAAAACCCATCTGGGGCAGGAGGAATAACTGCTCACCTCAGAAGACAGACAAGCAGGTCACAGCTGCTGCACATTTAACATACATGCATCACAGCTGCACCAGACAGGAAAAGCAGTGCTGGGCTGGCCTAGGGGGGAAGCTGGCAATGACATCGCAGCAGAGCTTTACATTTCTGCAGTAAAGCTACGGGGCTCCAAGTCTCCCCTCAGGGAGGGCTCACTGGGGCCTGCAGGGCTTCTTGTGCAAAAAATAGGACACAGGTGTGGAAGAGCCACAGGGTAAGGACTAGGCTTTTTACTACACATGCGCAACATCGCTCTCTGCCCGTCTGCAACGGGGAAAAGGCCAACCCGCACCAGCAGGACGCTCTCTGCTCAGGCACAGGATGGGATTTCAGTGCAGAGCTCAAACCCCAGGAAAGCCGTTTGAGCTGCCTCCTCCCTGCTGCTCTGGGGTGAAACAGCCAGCTCAGAGCCCACCACCACTCTTCATGCTCCTCCCAGCCCAGGAACAACATGTGGCAGCTGCAGGGGATGAGGGGGATGCTGGCACCCACAGGTGGGCATCCCTCCCCACCGCTCAGGTGCTGAACACATGTGAATGTTCCTGTATGTACAGGGAGGGACAGTCCACAAATTCTTACCTGTATGACAGACAGACTCCCGCTCCAAAAGGAAATGTTACATCAGAATTAGCACAGCATAAAGCAAGCCTTGATGAAAAGAAGCTAAACTATGTAGGGACACATTTATTTTTTACTAAATGGACACAAGACCAGCATGGTTTTTTAAGTGACAGATTTCGACGAAAATTTAAGGATAAGAAAATGGAAACATCCCTTTATGACAGTATGAAGCACTGAAAAAAATCTGAACTTAAATTAAAAATCCTCAGGCAAAGTACATCTGCATCTGCCCACGTTCTGCACTGCCTGGAAGTTGTCTGGTCAGGGAGCTAAACATCACATCCAAGTGAATAAATCCTCCTGAGAGGTAGGATAATTACCGACATTCACACGACCTCCAGCTGGTTCAGAACATAGGCAGAGGTTATTCTTTCCACTTCCAAAATATATGGGTTATGCATACTCTGTATCACACTAATTTTTATGTGCAGGACATGAGGGCTGAAAAAAAAAAAGCCAAAAAATTTAAATGTTTTTCCTCCACCAGATAACATATCCAAAATCTATGTACATGAAATACATTACAGTTCAAACACACTGAGTAGAAAACAACTGCACTACCGGTATCTAAAATTACTGCCATCCTCTACTGTCTCCTTTTGGTTGGGTGTTCTCTACTTAATCCCAGTACACCTAATAAAGATCTCATCTACCACGCAGCCAGACACACAGCGGCACATTGTTAGAGCATTATTTTACTGCAGCTTATCTGCTTCGTCTCAATTACCAGGAACAAGATATTTTGACTGAAGTCACCTAAGGAGTCGGATCTATAGTTTGTAAAATAAACATCGTTATAAACACGGATTTGGGCTTGCTTTGTTTCTGGTGAGATGCAGCCTAACGATCATGTAATGGCATTAGGCTACTTCAAACCTTCCTGGAGGGAGAGAGGCACGATAATTTGTGTACAATATATATAGGTGTGGCAAGTATTAAAGTATACTTACTTCTTTAAAAAAAAAAAAAGCACAAAAATCCCTGTGGCAGGGAGACTAGTTGCAATCCTCCATTTTCAGGAAGCCGCAAGTGACATTTACCTCCCTGCAGGCAGTTCATACAGGGCCCCTTGAGCTCTCTGGATGAACTGGCTGCCACACTTAAAATCTGCCCTGGAGACCAGGCAGAACGTCAGGCAGTGTGAAACACTCAGCACACTCAGTCCCATCTGGAGAGGTCCTGTGAGAAACAGGGCTGTGGTTACGCAGCATTTAACACGTCACCCTTACAATACGGAGAAGCCATGTCCACTTAGGGGGATTTAATCTTAAAGCAGATCTTCCGGCGTTTTCCATTTATTTAATTCTAATGTGAAGATCTAAAGAGTCAAATTACAGATGATGAAATTTTAAAAAATAATTAAAAAAAAAGTTATGCTTCATTGTGAATTCCTGTGTTTAGTTCAAGAACTCAATGGCAGAGCTTGCAAACAGTTTTCCAAAAAGATCAGTTTATTTTGGTGGGTCTGTATTAATCCCATATTTTTCTTTGAGAAGTTTAAGCTGTTCCTCTTTCTTCTTTGTGTCCATCTTTTGGAATGCCTGTAATTAGGAAAATAAAAGATGAGAAGAAAAAAAATTTCATCTTATGACATGTTATTTCCCCATAACCACAACTAACATCCCTACGAACTATATCAACATCACACAGAAACAGCATTGCATAATTCTCAACCTCGGACAATCCACAGTACCCTGGACACCATCAGTAATGGGCAGAACATCAAGAACTAGAGACTTTTTACCTGCAAATAAGACCTCGCATCCCATTGCAACTGTGCAGCTGTAAGGCCCCTGCTTCCTCTTCTCCAAAGTACCCTCACCAGAAGCATGTTTTTCACACCCTTGGTCCAAAGGTACTTTTTTTGCACATAAATCACCCAGTAAAGATGAAATCCTGACCACTTATCCGATCCATTCCCTCTACCAGTTCAGATTTATTTCTTAAAAATATCCAAGCAACTGTCTTTTCAAACTGAATTTTCTTTTTTATGCTAGCTATGTTCACAGGTAACTCAAAAAAAGCCCCAAGCGTACATACCCTGTTTGCATTATAGTACAAAACGACAAGGTATCTGTTGCACACGTTGAATCCCGACAGGTGATCACACGCGTTTTTGGCATCAAAGATGTCTTCATAGACCACATAGGCTGTTCCTCTAGTTTCAGGAGTGTTTCCACTGCAGAGCAAAATCACTTTTAATGTTAAATAAAATAAACAGGAAATAGTTCTATTCATCTTTAGCAGTGACTGAGATGAGATTGACCAATGCAACTTTACCGAAAAACAATTTATTGGTATTTTTTCTAGACACTGAAAATACGACCCTGCTTTCCACACCAACCTCCACTTACAGTTCAGAGTCAGAGACGACAGGAAAACGTGAGAGAGGCACATGCTGCATTATGCTCCAAAGTAAATTCAACCCAACAACTATCAGAAGCTGTTGCTGTTAGGGGTTGTCATATTTCTGGAAATACTTCAAGTTTTTATTACAGCGATTAGCTTGTTTTATTTCATATGACAAGGCTGGGCTGTCAGTTAATGGCTCTCTGGATCAGATGTCTCCCTCGGATGGAATACAGCTCTGGGCACATCATGAAGGCAATTTAAGAGCGTCAGAACAGCCAGGCTGGAGCAAGACCACTTCAGACACACAACCGTCACCTGTCGGACCCTCAATTCAATTTTCTTTGCCTGAGGGACAGAAGACACGTCTGGGCACATAACGCTAACGAGCCCGGAGAGATGGCAGAGCTTACAAATCAAAAAAATCTCAGCTAAATACAGTTAGAGTGAATTTAATAATCAGAAGAACTGTCTTTAAGGTGCTTGCTTCTAAGAGAACTCACAAGGACAAAGGACATCACACATATCCACACCGGGATGCATACAAAAATGAAGAGAATGAGATAAAAACTACACAAAGCACAGAAGTCATTACAAAGGGAGTTCCACATTACACCTGGTCTTGCAACAATGCCAGGATTTCTGTGGAAGACAATGTGGAGCGGTGGTTCTGAACGACCCACGGGGAGGCTGCCTGCAGCTCCCTGTTGGACACATACGCCGGCATATCGCTTTGACAGAAAGCTCCCCCGATACGCCTTAATTCTTTATGTCCTACTGTCACTCTGTTCCAACCTACACGTTTTCAGAAACCTTAACTATTAGCTTTCCTTTATGCTTATTAGTTAAGAATTCTGCCTATTTAGCCAAGCTGTAAGCTTATGCTGTCCCTTGTTACTTTAGCCACCCCCCCAGTTGCTTTTGTTGCCCTTCCCTGTACGAGGAGGATCTCACTAGCTACATGTTCGTTCCAACACAGCACCAGCAGCACAACCCCCTGTCCTTGTTTGTTTATTGAAGGCAATTCTATACATAAAATGCACTTTATTCTATACATTGAACAACCATCTTTAATTGCTATGGCTCTGGAATGAGCACCGCCATTTGGGGTAGTAAAATCCAGTCTGTTTAACTGTTTACATATTTAGGCACTGCATAGTCAAAACAGTTGAACATATTGTGGATTAATTACCCACCCCAGTCTCAGAGTGTGAGGAAATGGAGAGCGATATAAATGACAAGGATACATCCTGTTTTAATACAATATATCTAGTTAAGAACTCAGAGATGCTGCAGGTTATTTTGCCACCATCCAGGGAAAAGCAGTACAGAAAACTTGTATCAAAAATAAACTACATTTCCTTTCTATTTGTACATCTATTGAAATGTGACTTACAACATTTTCTTTTAAGTATTAAAGACCAGGTTTTGTTTCCTCCCCTTCCCCTTCCTAAATATTTTTCAGAAGGGAAAAAAAAAATATCCTTTTGTACGCGTGTCAGTACTCGAGACCACCTTACTATGGTTCTCAAAAGCTCTTCCCGAATTCCAGCTTCAGCCAGCTCTTTCTGCTAGAAACTTATCAGAACATAATACACACCAGATGAAATTATGGTTTATAATCCACAGCATTCAGACAGTACTCGGCATAACAAGGAACATCAGAGCTCAGGTCTTCAATACTTGAAGTAACTGAAGAGAAGAACCTCAGGTTTGCTGTAGACATGTATAACCTCAGTGCATTTAAAAACAAAATTCCAGTCAGATTACCATCACCTATGAGCTATGCAGCTCAGGGACAAGCTGTACCTGAGGCACAGGGTATTTGTGACAGGTTTCTGGTATTTGTTTCTGGTTGACAGTCCTGCAGCAACACTAACATCTCTATTTTCCCATTAGTTAAGTGTCTAATACTCATTAAGTATAAAACCTGGTTGTATTCAACTTCTGCCTTTCTTATTTTTATCTTTAGTTAAGGTAAAAGATTAGCTGTATTTAACATTTACTTGAGAGCAAGTCTCTCATATTTTTAGCAACTTACCTAAGTTCACATCAAACTTAAGCTTTTTCACCCTACCTACCAGCGATACTATTTTCTAATGAATTCGTACATAAGAGAAAGACCATCACATCCATCTTTGGCACACAAGGACACTGCTGAAGTGCATTTAACTTTTTCAGCTGTGAAATCCAGTTGCTACCTACGGCAGTAGGAATACTGACATATAACACATGTACTAAAGCACATAAAATCCTTAACTTTTCAATGAAAACTAAAATACTTACACTCTGATTTGTCGAATAGGCCCATATTTCCCAAAAATATCATACATTTCCTCTGCTGTGATCTTATACGGCAGGTTCCTAATATAGAGGATCCGATTGACTTCTGGAGGCAGCCGAATCTGATGCAGAAACAACATACGGCGTTAGACCTACAGCGCTCACTTCAAACCTCAAATGTAGCTGTCTACGTGCTAACTCTTGGGGATAACATCACAGAGAAAGTCCATGGGCTTCTCTGATCCTTTTTTTAACCCTCCACAGGTACAAACTTGACGCGTTTCAGTCAAACAAGAGGCCTGCCTGGAGGGGGACGGGGTCCCTTGGCCGGGGACGAGGAAGAAGCCCGGGCCGGGCGGGAAGGCCTGCTCTCAGCCCCAGGCCAGGGGACCCCCCTCGCACCGCCCCGGAGGGCTGAGGCGGGCCAGGGAGGAGGCAAAGGAGAGCACTCACGTTGGCCCGTTTGGCCGCTTGCATGGCCATGGCGCCGGTCGGACGGAGGGGGCTGAGGCCTGAGAGAGAACCACTGGCACCAAACGGGCCTCCTGCGCAGCGCGCCGCACCGCTCCGTTCCGCTCGGCTCAGCGGAGTACCCGG